GTTGTTGGTACAAGCTCTTATCGATTTACCTTTTTTTAATGTTGATCTTAAGACCTACAATTCGAGCTTCCTAGTTTTGATGCCATATTCGCGTGTCTATAAGAAAGGAGACAGATGTCGCATAACTGAGATCTTCTAACATTCTAAAGGGAGTCCACCATATTCCACGATGATTCCTGGAAATTGTTCTCTTGAATCAAAATCTGGTCACTTTAAATTAATCATTGTCGAACAAGCAAAAACTTTTATAAACGTATATTTCAAAAAATACCTCATCTATCGAAAGCATCTGTGTCCAATAAATCTTAATTCCTATATTATCGGACCGTGCACATCAATCGGAGATAATCATCTGCCGCATCCTCGAAAGAATGCGAATTATATAACACCTGCCCGAACCGATTTCGCAAAAAAGCGCACACGACACGACGACCAGATAAAAATTTACATAATTTTTAAGCGTCGACTAAACGGTCCAATTAAGACAACCGTGAACCGTTAAAACCGAACGATTTCGGCCAAAACAAAACGAAAACCATGCGTGTAGAGATGTGCCAAATTATCGATATGATGTATTATCGATGTTTTATTACCCATATGTAGATTATATAGGAGGGAGAAGTTAATCACTGCAACCTTACAGATCTATTGTGTTCCACTTTTCTGGAATTATAACTCATCATACAGTCTCACGGCTTTAAAAAAGCTAGTATTTGAGACGGTTTTACAGAAGTTAGTTCTCCATTTCCGATTTCAGTCGTACCAAAGTTTATGACACATTGTCGTCTCGGTGCACTCGGTGATGGTATTTTGGTGTTTCTCCATTTTCCCCACGGAATTTGCATTCGCCGTTGTTTCTTAGCTTCAATCTACTGAGGAGAGACAGTAACTGAGCAGAGACAGAGACTATTGAAGACAATTTTTACAATTTGTTGACAAAGGTAAAGTAAACAAACAAAAGAGAATACAAAACAAGTATACAAATTACATTGTCAGTCTTATTGTTTAAAATAAACATTTATAAATGTTACAAATATAACAATGTCAAAGAATAAAAAAATAAAAATATGATTCAAAAATATTTACTATATTTATAGTAAATATAGTAATAGCAAAATATAAGATAAAAGAATACAAACAATAAGATTTCAATGCTTTGCGAAATGAAGAAAATGATGTTATGGATTTGATTTCAAATGGCAGGTGATTGTGCATTTTTTCGAGTTGTATAATATTGAATTTTTAACTAACTCTGAGCCGTGGGGTAGGTAGATAAAGATCTTGCTCCGCGTTCCTGAGTGGATAAGTGTGAGATGGCCTTTCTTGAGAAGCTGATACATGCTTACGTATTAGGCAAACGGATTCAAATATAAATAAGGAAGGAAGAGTTAATATTTTTAATTTTTTAAAAAAGTCCCGGCAATGAGTTCTGCTGTTTAGTCCCAGTTAATATTGAACAGCTCTCTTCTGGAGCTTAAAAATGCGGTCAAATTGAGTCGCACAACACGTACCCCAGAATGGAAGGGCATATCTGAGGTGCGACTCAAAAAGTGCATAATAAACAGTTCTAGCCACTGACAAGTTAAGCTCCTTAGAAACAGATCCTAATACAAAACAGGCAGAGCTTAATTTTTTTTTTCATTTCAGAGAATTGTCTACAACAAGCCCGAAGAATTTTACAGATTTTAGGACGTCAGTGGTGGTGTTGTTAAGTACAAAAGGCTGAAAAGGCTTTATCTATTTTGCAAAATATAAGTAAAAATGTAATTTTTTGTGCCGCATGTAACGTCAACGTACAGCCTCGGGAAAAGTATCATTTTTACTCCTAATAAAACAATATACTATTTCTGAATATGTAGAACTTTTGAACACGTTGTATCGATAATATTTTTTCTTAAACTTGACATCCCTAAAAGACCAGTCGTTTCAACAAAAAAAAAACTAAGAAGACCGAAGCGATGCGTAAGTCCATAAAAATTGCCATTAAAAAGTTGATTTACGCGCGCAGCGCCATCTTGCAGCCCGGTCCGATTAATCACGGCCGACCTCGGGCGACATATTTTCGAGACACCGGGTTACGCTTCGATTTCTGCTGTCGCCGAAACAAATCGCGCTTTCCTGGGGGAAATAAAGGAACACGCACACGCTGAAATATATATATACGGACTGAAATGACATGACAAGGGTCAAATATTAAACTGGAACTTATTTATGTTTTTACATTTTCTCTCAAAGGTATTCGAGAAAATGTAGAACAATTTTCGGATTTTTAAGTGAGGAATATTAGTCGAAGAACCTCTTGTGTAAAGCAAAAAGTATGTTTGTTTTGAATATTCAAAGACATACAAGTAAAAAAGACAATGACATTGACAAATGACAAGACAAAAACATTGAGTAAAAAATGTCTATACCAAGTCTGTACCTCTGTGGCGGATTCATCTCTTCAACGAAATTCTCTGGGTAGAATTTTTTTGAAGATATACAGAGTTTACAATTTTAAAGATCATTCGGCCAATCAAGTCATCAGTTTCTTCTTCTTCTAGTACATATCCATAATAATGGATGTTTGCGATAACATTTTCCATCGCTTGTCCGTTCCTAGCGGTGTGTATTAACGATTGTACGTCGTGTAGGCCTGTCCACTGTCTAACATTCCTCAGCCAAGACATTTTTTTCCTTCCGATAACCCTCTGGCCTTCGATCAACAGATACAAGAATTGATATTTGGTATATTGAAAAAAAACCGTCGTGTCGGCTATATCACCGTCACTGGTAGACATGTCAATGCGACAATTATTAGAATGGTCATTGATACAGCTCTGAACTGGACTGAAACAGTTCTGGGAGAATTGTCAGCTCAGGAGCTTGGAACTCCCTTAAAAGGAAAATTCCACACTTTAAACTCCCAGTGGATGGCATACTAAAAATGTACGACTTTAAGATAAACCTCACTCTAGTATTGAGCAACAAAAAGAAGATGGAAGAGAATTGGAGATAAGATCTATCGAAAACAAGAACTCAAGCAGACGAGCGATTAGAGAGCGATTAAGTCAGTAACCATCAATTCAAAGTTGGCTAGGCAAAGAAAATAAAGTCCTCCTATTCTATGTGCCAGCCCATCAAGGGATAGCAGGTAATAAAAAACAAACGATCTAATTAGAAAAGGAGCCCTTCTTCTTTCTCAGCCTGGTTCCATCCAGTGTTGGATATAGGCCTCTTCTAGGTTTTTCCATGCTTCGCGATCTCTAGCCAATCTTATCCATTGTCTTCCCGCCACTGCCCTGACGTCATCGACCCATCTCTTTTTTGGTCGGCCCACACTTCTTGTTGTTCCCCTAGGTCTCCTTAGGATTATTTTTTGGGGCCATCGGTCTGGATCCTGTCTTGCCACATGTCCTATCCATTGCCACTTCAGACTTGCCACTCTTTTAACGACATCTATTAATTTTGTTTTTTGACGTATGTGGGTATTCCGTATTTTTTCCCTAATGGTGACTCCCAACATGATTCTTTCCATGGCTCTTTGTGCTACTCGTAGTTGTTCTGCTGTTTTTCAAGTAATTGCCATAGTCTCTAAGCCATACGTAAGCACAGGTAGAATGCAGCTGTCGTAAGCCTTTTTCTTTAGGTTCGTGGGCACCTTTTTATCCTTGAAAATATCGCTCATATTTCCAAATGCTACCCATGCCAAATGGATCCTGCGTTTGATCTCCGTATTTTGGTTTTCCTTGCCCAGCTTGATTTTATGACCTAAATATATATAATGGTCTACGTTTTCAATAATAACGTTGTCCACGGTAATGTTATGGATATTGTTGCTCATTATCTTGGTCTTCTTCAAGTTCATTTTAAGGCCAATTTTCTGGGATTGCTCATTTAGCTCATTTAGCATGGTGTTTAGTTCTTGAATGTCGGTGCCCAGCAAGACAATATCGTCTGCGAACCTCAGATGGCTAAGGTGTATCCCATCGATGTTTAGACCTCTATTTTCCCATTCTAATTTCTTGAAGACATTTTCCAGTGTCTGTGTAAATATCTTGGGAGAGATGGTATCTCCTTGTCTCACGCCCTTGCCGAGTGGTATTTTTTCTGTTTTGAGGTCATCATCTAATTTAACTTGGAAGGTTGCACTATCATAGATATTTTTAATAATGGAATAATATCTGGAATCAATTCTCGCGTCCTCCATTGCAGCTAGAAATGACCAGGTTTCGATGCTGTCAAAGGCTTTTTGGTAGTCTACAAAGGCCAAATGTAGAGGTATATTGTATTCTGTTGTTTTTTCAATGACTGTTTTAATTGTTTGTAGATGATCGATGGTACTAAAACCTTTTCGAAAGCCTGCCTGTTCTATTTTCTGATAGGAATCTAGTTTCGTAGACAGTCGGTTGTTGATAATCCTAGTGAAGAGCTTGTATAGATGCGAGAGAAGGCTTATTGGTCTATAATTCTCTATATTTGTAAAATCTCCTTTTTTGTATAATAGCACAACTTCTGCGTTTTTCAATGCGTCAGAAAAGGAGCCCTACACACCCCTAACTGGACCAGAACCGTTCTGTTTCCCAAGTTGAAACAAACTTAATTAAAATCTGAAGAACCTGGAAGAGGTTACCTAGAATGGGAATCCCCCAACGGTCTAAGACACTACAAGAAATTCAAAACACCTCAATAGATTGAAGCGAAGAAACAACGGTGAATGCAGATTTTCTGGTGAAAATGGGGAAACAGCAGAACACCTTCTCACTGGGTACGCCGAGACAACCATTCTTGCCATAAATTTTGGTACTACTGATATCGGAGATAGAGAACTAACCTCTGTAAAACCGTCTGAGATACTGTCTTTTGTCAAAGTCCTGAGACTGTATGATGAGTTATAACTCAAGAAAGGGAGAGGCAATAGATCTATAAGGTTGCGGTAATTCTCCCCTCCCGTAACAATCTACCTTAAAACTGAAGTGTGTGTGGCTAGCTTTAGCATCTAAAATTATTCATATACTCACTGACTGATTCGATGACCTCGGCCAGAAGCACTCCGTCGCTGCAATCTGTTGCCAAAGAATTGACGCGCTTTTTGCTGCGGGCCTTTTCCAAGTAGTGGTTGGCCCAGTCCGTATAAATCTGTAACAAAAACAAGAAATAAAACAGAGTTAGATATACTGCTAAAAATGCTAAAGCGATGTAAGAGATGCCAATGAGCATAAACAGTTGGTTTGGTTTAATAGAGATGTCTAAAAAGTTACTGGTAATATTTTTTGCAAAAATTTGTAGCCCTGTATAAGTATGTTTTATGAGTGTGTAATGGAAACACTTAAATCAAGTGTTGCAATTTTAGAACAGTTAATTTTTCAATCTTTTGCATTCAAAATAGACAGTGTGCCATATGTCTACACGACATAAATTAACGCAGAGAAAAAGTATTAAACAGCGTGTTACTCGGATGGGCTACGTTAATAAAACCGTATACCGGGTGTTTCTCAAAAATGGCTCGCCCCTATAACTTTTTTATTTTACCAGATTAAAAAAAAAGGAATTTGGTACCTTAGCATATGACATAAATCAGGATTGATTGACGTATCACTTGCTGTTTTACCGGAAATGATTAAACTTTTGATTTTTAAATGATACTCTCATTATTTTTTTACTTTATATGATAGAAAATTACCTATTAAAAAACTATTATATTACTATTACCTATTAAAAAATGGACATGTGTCATTTTTTGACATTTTCGCATATCGTTTATTTGAAAGAAAGAAAGAAAGAAATTGCTTTATTGTCATAAAAAAATTAAACAATTTTGTTGGCAAAGCTTAAAAAAAAAGAATATAAAAAACATACAAAACTTCACTTAACAATAAAAAAAACATATAAAACTAACAGCAAACATACAAAACTAAAACAATACTTTATACAATTATAGAAATTGTACCTACATTGTCAAAAATTTATTTAATTAAATATAAATAAAATATAAACATACATGTAAATAAACAACTGTATATAATGTCAATACTAAATTTAAATGGATAGAAAACAAAATAATTTCTTAAATTTAGTGAATGTGTGTTAAATTTAGAACCCTAGATATTAATAAAAAAATCGTTAACCGCGTAAAAGGCTTTCTCCAGTAAGTATGATCTCAAGGCTCTGCGAAATGCAGGAAAGGATGAAATGGAATTAATTTCAGATGGCAGATGATTGTGCATTTTTTTTGCATTGTACAATATGGAACTCTTTACTAACTCAGAGAAACTGGCCCTAGAGAAATACTCGATACGTGCTTGCGAACTAGGCAGACGGATTCGAGTATGAATAGGGAAGGAAGAGTTAATATTTTATATCTTTTAAACAAGTCCCGGCAGTGAGCACGACTGGTTAGCCTCAGTGAATATCGCACAGCTCTCTTTTGTAATTTGAAGATACGCTCAAATTGAGTCGCACAACACGCACCCCAGAATGGAAGTGCGTATCGGAGATGCGACTCAAAAAGGGCATAATAGACTGTCCTAGATGTTGACAAATTAAGCACATTAGCAACTGATCTAAGTGCGAAACAGGCAGAACTTAATTTTTTAGCTAAAGCATCGATGTGCAAATCCCATTTTAAATAGTTGTCCACAACAAGGCCTAAAAATTTCACAGAATCAACGACGTCAATGGTGGTATTATCAAGTTGAAAAGGTAGCAACGTACTTTTATATGATAAGACTTTAGTTTTAGAGACGTTGAGACACAGATAATTAGAATCGCACCATGTTTTTATGTTGATTAAGTCACTGGAAATGGTTCTATGAAGTGCCGTGGTGTCCGGGCTGCTCCATGTGAAACAAGTATCATCCGCGAAGAGACAGATTTTACCACTGATGTCCAGACTAGCAATATCGTTGATAAACAACAGAAACAAAATAGGACCTAGCACTGAGCCCTGAGGTACTCCGCATTCTATTGGCTTGCAAGAAGACACAGTCTTATCAACCCTCACACGCTGGTTTCTGTTGTTAAGGTAGGACTTAAACCATTCAAGAGGCGTTCCCCTGATACCATAGTACTGCAATTTGTTAGTTAGGATGTTATGATTAACACAATCGAAAGCTTTCGAGAAATCACAGAAAATTGTTGCTGTAACGAGACGGTTGTTCAGACTGGAGTATACATTATTAAACAGCGAAAACATAGCGTCATTTGTACATTTGTTACTCAAGAACCCAAACTGAAAGGGGGTGAGTATTTTGTATTTTAGAAGAAATGATACAAGCCTCTTGATATTGTAACATGCGGCTCATAATAAGGATTTGACTCAAAATGCCATGTGTGTGGTACCAAATTATTCATAAAAAATGTTTTTTCCAAATATGAGTCACCGGCGACGTCGATCTCTAAGACGTCATCTAAAAAGTGACATAAACGTCAAAAATTAACACTAATTATAGAAAGATTAAAAAAGGATACAACGTTTCCTGACACACAAATCTATTTTCAAAAAAAAATCTAATTTTAAACTACTGCATTTAAAAATAATGCTTACTCAATATAAAAATAAATTAGAACCTTCTTAAGGCCAACTGGCAATAAGCCCGTCTAAGACGTCTAGAGCTTGACCTGGCCAAAATTACCATCGGTTTTCATTCCTCAGCCGTCTTTGACGCCGTTTTTTTTTCTCGATTGTATGGTACTTTACTAATTTTCTTCTGCTAACAAAACTCAAATATTTTCTCGTTTATAATATTTCCGTAACCTTTCCTTAAATCAACCCCATCCGACAAAAACTAAAAGATTTTCTCGGTTTTCCACAAGGGTGAAGAAGGAAAAACAAGTGTCAATATGTCGGAAAAGTTGTCCGTTCGTTTTAGGCAGCATCGGCAACAACAATGGTGCCGACGCCTCGGAAAAGTTAATTTCATGCTCAGCTAATTAAGGGTTTTAATAAGCGCGAAGCGAAGCAAGGGTGGCAGATTTCCACTTTCGGCAGAACTTTTCCGGAGATCGGGAAAAACGCCGGATCGAGGAGAGTAAGGTCACGAGCAACGATGTCGGAGGGTTAGAGTTCATTTAATTTTATTAACTCGGCTCAACTTTACTACAGATAAAGTTTCTAGTAACACTTGACTAGTGTAAAACTGATGAGTAAGTAAGTAAGAGCGAGTAACCATCAATTGGTCGAAGAATGCCTAGCAAATCTGAACAAATTAGGCAAAGAAAATAAAGGCCTACTACTAAAAAACTACTCAGCCAGCTTACCAAAGGATAAAAGGTAATAAAAAAGCAAAGGGTCTAGCTAGAAAAGCAGCGAACACACCACTAACTGGACCCGAACCGTTCTGCTTTCCAAGTGAAAACCAACTTAAAGTAGAACTCTAGAACATGGAAGACCCCATCCATTACCTGGAATGAAAATCATTCACAAATCTAAATGTACCCATTCACATTAGTAGTGGGAACTATCGAATGAATACAATCGAAACATTCGATAGTTGCAATTCATTCGAATAGTTCGATAGTTAGTAAGAAAACATTCGTTGAAAACTATTCGAATAAAAATTATTGAATAGATCCGTCATCTGCCTTGAAATATTGTATTCTAGTAATTCGGCAGCAAAAACCATTCATTTATAAAATTCATTCATTTATGAAATTCATTCATTCGTCAGGATCGATTATAATAAAATATTAACTGAATTTTAGTTGTCGCCCGGCGACGTAGGTTTCTTTCCGAGAAACCCGACAGCGGTCGGTGGCAATGCTATGAAAGAAGCCGGCATCTTTGATTTTTTGCGGAGTCATATATAGATAAGGACACATTATTTTTTTTATTGAGGTGCTAGTATTTATACAGAAAATACATTATGAAAGGCGCTGTTGCCATATTTTGGTATTAGTTGATGTTAGCAAAGAATATTATTGTTTGGCTTTAGTTAATTAGGGATAGTATGTTTATATATTCTGCATTTTTTTTATTAATATTCTGTTGTTACACTGCAATAATACTTGTTATTTTGGATGTAGGAAAATTATTTTTAATGTTTTTTAGCAAAGATTGGTTTAATAAATAATAGTAACAGTAATAATTTGTTATACCTATTAACAACAAAATTTAAAATCATTTAATATAAATATTTTCTTTTAAGTAGTAGCAAAATATAGACAACAAATTAGATGTCAAAATTATTTATATTAGATCCTATTTAAAAATAATATAGTCTCTAAATTTTTTGGCAACGTTGGTTTATTAAATAATAATAATTACAGAACTAATTTGTTATATTAACAACAAATTTTTAAATCATGAAATATAATATTAATAATATTAATTTTCTAAGCATGCAGTGTAATGGAAGGAAAATATAAATAAAAAATTAGAAATCAAAATTATTTATATTAGGTGATTTATATTACTATTTAAAAATTATATTTACTTTTACTGGCATTTACTTTAAAAAATAAATGAAATATTTTTTCTTCGCAAAAAACTACATGTAAGAGAATTAGCATAAACAAAATACAAACATCGTTAACTTTTTTTTTAAATTGGCACGTGTAAAACTTTCGTTTTAATTTTCTCACCCCATAGTTTGAGTTCAATAACCATTTACTTAAATATGATTATACAACCACATTACTTAAATATGATTATTAAGTTCAACTAATTCATATTATTAAAACATCTAAAATACAAATATGTATTTTTTAAATTAATTGTAAGTTCATCTCATCTCTCTTAAAAATTGCTACTTCTCAAAATTTCCCATTAAAAAATAGACCATATAATTTATACCATAAATTTTCGGAAAAATTTTGACCACCTGCACATGCACACAATCGTCAATAAATAAAATTAAAAAATAACTACTATTTTAGTATTTTAACTATTTTAATAAACGCAAAAATAGCACAGTATTTATACGGCGAAGTTATAAAAATTTGGAAGAACTAATAATGCACTGACGCATACAAAAATCAAACGAATACTAAATTTCATTTATCAAAAGCATTCGATAGTCGTGACTCAACGATAACCATTTAGTCGCACGGCGAGGTTGTCACATATGCTTTAGTATATAAATGAATGAATGATTTTATTCGAATAAAACCATTCGATAGTTGAAATCATTCATTCATTA